CTCAGAGGTGGGGCAGGTGCCTGGGATGGCTCAGGCTGTCCCCTGTGTCCTTCTGGACGGAGTTGGGCTCCCAGAGAGCCTTCCCAGCCCCTCCAGCACCCAGCTCCTGCCTGAAGTGCCATAGCCACTCGTGGCCTCCTTTGTTTAAAACTCCACAGCTGTAAATTTGGAAGGAAAATCAGTTAGATTTAACTCGCATTTCCTTACCCAGTTTGGGGCTTGGCTGGAGTAAATCTCAAAAGAGTGATTGCATTATTGTTCTCAAGCCTAGGCTGAATACTTATTTAAGTTAAAAATAGCTAAAAGTCATATCTGGCCAAGCTTTGGTGCTAGGCCATTTCATCCATCTTAAACCCTTTCTTCTTCAACAGTGAAGATCAATAAATAATCTGCTAAAGATGTGTTTCATGGTAAATTTAAATACTTTTGAAATGCAATGTAGTAAAAACTGCGTCAATTAAACCACCATATATTTTGTTCTTCTGATTTTTATCAGTCATGTCACCAGCACTGGAGTAGGCAGTGTGTGGTAACCCTTAGGAGCAGCAGCTTCCCAATTACTGCTGCTGTTAGCAGAGCTGATAAAGACAATTATGCCTGGAAACAATTAATTGTGTTAAAAGAGCCTAAGTTATATGCATCACTTGGCATGCAGCACCTTCCTGGCCTGCTTTTGTCCCTACGTGGGTGTGGGTGTGTGTATTATTTCCGTGTGTGTAACTCTGGAGAGAGAGCCAAAAGGAGCCAAGAGCCAAGGGAGCAGGGGAGGGAATGGCCACGTGCTCCTCGTCCTTTGGAGCTGATATTTTTGATCTAACTGGGAAGAAAAAAAATTAAAAATCCATACAGTGACCGAATACAATTCTGATGCAATGAAGTTGCAGTCACACTCAGGAAGTGACCCAGCAGTTCCTGGCAGGACACTGTGATGACGTGACAGCTTTATGCTTGTTCTTTTGTCCTACAACTAAACTCGGCTCCCCACACCTCCCACCTTCCCAAAAGCCCTCTTTGTCGTTATTACCCACAGGCAATAACGACCAGCAAGGTGACCCTGCTGGAGGAAGCCTTCCAGCCCTTTTGGCAGCCTGCTGCAGGCCCAAGGGCTCGCTCAGAGGGAGGCGAGGGCGCGATGTTTGCGCAGCAGGAAGCTGAGCCCAGGGTGGGGAGAAGGCGCTCAGTGATACAGGAATGTCCCAGCATCACAGCTCTCACCACCCCAGCACACCTGCCTGCTGCAGGTATGTGCTGTGTGCCAGGTGAGTCAGCAGCCGTGCCCTGGGCACTGCCAGGGCTTTGCACAGTCACCACAGCCCTGCCTTGCTCTTTAAAACCAGCAGATAGTCGCCCTGCCAACACCATTCCACACAGCCTGTATTTGCACAAGCCCATCAAACAGGGTTCCAGCCACGGGTTAAACCTGCTGTAAATCTGCACATGCAAACACACGTACAGATATGCACACATGCAAACAGAGGAATTAGCTGAGGGATTAGGAGAAGCCCTTTCTTCCCAAGAACATTGGTAATTTGAACTTCATACCATAACTAAATAAATGGTTTGGGGGGAGTGTGGTTCAGAAGAGTCTGACTCAGCTTCATGTTGTAGATCTAGTTTTACCACTGCCTCACTGTGTGATCTTGAGTGGAGCTCTCGGATTCCCTCAACCATGGTGCCTTTTGCTGAAAGAGTAAGAACTGCTCAGTCACAGGTGAGAACATAACTCATTTGTGCTCAAGTACAACATACATTGAAAATACTGTTTCTCCCTGGGTGGGTAATTTGGGTTCTGGTGATGGTGGAGAGGGGTCTGCATTAAACATCTGGGTTGTTTTTGAGTACTTCGGTCAGCACCTGCATGTAATTGAGCTCTCCAATTTTCTAGAAAAGCAGCTGAGGCTGAGACACAAGATAGAAGTCAACTGCTTTTGTTTTTATTTTATTTTCCATTTGGACAGGTAGGATGGTGCCTTCCCATTCTGCAGTCTTCATGGAAGATAAAGGTTTTGTGACAGCACATCACTGGGACAGGATATGAAGGATTGCAGATAAGCCATGATTTTGGGCTACAGGGTTTATCAAATATTGCAGTGCTGCAGGCTGGGATTTATCATCTCCCCAGGCTTGGTTGCTATTTGCCTTTGCTGAAATCCTTTTGAAGGGTGACAGCATTCAAGTACATTAGAACTGTAAGGAGGCAAAGTACAGAAGTCAGGATTTCTTATTACAGGAGAAATGGAATAAAAAAATTGTGAAGATTACAGGGGAAACCATGTCATGGTGAATAAGAAGTCAGGCTCCAATCTTGGGGAGAAATGGCATCCAGACTAGTTTAAATAAGATGTTAGGTATTTTTTTTCTATTTAAACTTGATCTTGAATTTCCTCCTGGTACCTCATATCCTTTTACGGTCAGTAGCACTGCCCTCATGCATATTTATTAGATTTAGACATATTTTGCAAGTCACCTTCACATCTTATTTTCTTTTCCTGGACAAACTGGTTGGTTATGTACACATTGAATTTGCAAATCTCATCTCTGGTGTACATTAACCCCTATTAGTCTGGTTGCTCAATGTGCAGATAAGTTTTGGGGCTTATTTGTAATTTAACTTCCTTCTGTATATTAAGCACAGCCCATACTTCTGTTTAGTTTTCACAACCCAGATTCCTTCGCACATGGAAATGACCTGCATATCCAGCATCCTGGCAGAGAAACAGCCCTTCTCTTTGAGAGATCAGTGCCATGCTGTCTGAGAGAGAGCAGGAATGAGGTGTTTGCAAGGTGCTCCTTCCTTTCAGGGAGCTGCAGGTGTCAGAAGAGCAGCAGGTTTATTTACCTGCACTTATTTTCTTTGCCCTGAGCTCACAGTGAAGCTGGAATAGAAGAGACAGATTTAATTTTTCCTCCCCAGACTAAACCACATCTCTGAACCCAAGCTAGAAGCACTTTCTGTTTGCTTGTGGCACTTCCAGACCTGCTGAAGGCCTAGAAAGTGCAGCCACTGAAACACACACTTGGTTATTGAGGCAGAGGTTGGTGTGGCAGGGGACAAGTTGTTGGAATAAACACAGCTGTGTTTTTTCCATCACTGTGTGCTCATTTACTGGGCCGGTCAGCCACAGACCCTGGTACAAAGGGTACAGGGTAAATCCCTGTCCCTGGGGAAGCCCTGGGACTGTAGGATCCACTCTCAAATTTCACCTTGGATGGGGCTCACTGTTGTTTAAATCAAATAAAGCTGTGGTTTTACCTATTACAGGAAATGGTTAGAGCTTATTAATAGTGAGGCAAACAACCTGCCATGGGATATACAGTCAATTTGCAATCAGTTGTGCTTTCAAATGCCTAATTGCTTACAGTTCTGCCAGGACAGTCTTCAGTGCCCCCAGGTTAAGGTTTCAGATGAACCCCTCCAAGTTCCCCGAGAGGACTTTTGCCTTTGAAGAAAAAGAACTTTTTATCTCTGTCACTCTGGCTGAGAAGTTCTTAAGCTGATTTTGTTCATGTTCCCAACTTTGGGCAAAGCCACAGCCACAACATTCTACAGTTCAGGGTTTCAGAGGGAACAGTGGCCTTGTTTCCAGGAGAACAGCCTGAAACACAGACTGCCCACAGGCAGCCAGGCCCCAGGGACTGGGCAGCTCCAGGAAGCAGCTCGTGTTCCAGCACTGGAGCAGTTCCCACTGCTGCTCTGGGTGAAGCACAGCTCTGCTGCCAGGCTCAGGCTGCCTAATGGGCACGGCTGACTCTGATTTTCACTTCAAAAAGAAGCTGTAGTTTAGAGTGATTTAGAAAGGCAGGATTTTCTATACAGTCCCAGGGTTTGTGCAGGCAAAAAGATCTGCATTAGATTAATTCTGCTGGATCCCTGGTGCTGTGTGGAGCTCCCACCCATCTTCCAGGGCATAGAAAACCCTCACAGCTTTAGCACACAAGCAGTGTCACTTGTCACATGCCAACAGCACAATAAAAGGGCCCGTTCAAGCCACAGGATGAGAGGCTCAGGGGAAAAGTAGCCTTGAGTTATCTGGATGCAGAAGAGAGAATTCAGCACCTGTGGCAATGAACAAAGTCAGGCCCTGTTATCAGCTTGGACTGGTGCCACCAGCAGAGACAATCTGCTGTTTCCAGAGTGCCATTTCAGTTGAAGCTGTTTGGACCCAACCTGGGAATACAATGCTGGGATTGTCATCACAGCAGCCTTGGGAAACAGGGTTCCCTTCCTATAATTCAGTGTAGTTTTTTTTGCAATAAAACTAATCTGATTGCATCCTCCAGTTCCCTTTTTGCAGTCACGCCTGGGAGGGACACAATCAAATTCTCTTTCCTGGCATCTCATGTACTAATGATCATTGTCCTACCAGTACTTTGCAGGGTGAGTTGGCTTCCCCCAGGTAACCCAATTTGGGTTTTCCCCAGTTTTTTAATTAAGCAGAAATCAACTCCACTTCCATGAAGTGGTGGCCACATTCTGCTCCCAGGTACTGATAAAAATGCAGAATTAATCACTTGCCTGTCAGCACTGGGTGGAACCCCCAACCTCCTCATACCCACAGAGCAAATTTTCATCAAGCAGGAACTCCTGGCCATTTACTGAAGGATGATTGAGGAGCTCAGAGCACCACACAAGTTCCCTAAGTGGAGGGAGGGAAAACAAAAACAGATCTTCTTCTGAGGCACAGATTGTTATCATATCACAAAAGCCAGCAGCTGAAGAGATTCCAGTCAGGAAGCACCAAGCTTTGGGAACAGGTTAGACTACCTGTCCTTCCCTGGGAGACTGACACCCAACGGGATCCGGGGTGGAAATGAGTTCTCCAGACTGCTGGGCTCACAGCCATCATCAGATGTGAAGTGTTTTACATACCTCCTTCTCTGTGGGTTCCTCCTGTCATTCCCCAGAACACGTGTGCAGGAGCAGCTGCATTCAGCTGTGGTGTCAGATGAACGTTACCTTGAAAACCCAGAAAGCAAAAAACACTCCCAACCAGAGCAGCTTGACGTTGAGTGGCAGAGGTAGTATTTTATTTTTTTTTGAGCATCCCTCCTCAAGGACACTAAATTTAGAGTTTGTAAAACATCACTAACCGAAAACAAAACATTGCCAATAACAAAAATGCAAACCTGCTGGAAAGGAAAATGCAGCAGCATTCAAGTATCAGAAAACATGAGAGCTAAAGTGCTTGAGAGAATTTCTTAACTATGCAGAGTCTGAAGTCAGTGTTCCCCTAGAAATGCTATTTTTAAAACAGCACTTGCCTGCCTGCATAGGATTTTTCACCAATCTATAGCAGGATAACACTACTAAGCCAGAGCCATTACCCCAAAGGGCTAGGAGCAACACATTTCTTTCTACCCCTCATACTAAAATAAATTATATTCAAAGAAATACATTATAAAGTTCAGGCAGCTGAAGCTGGACTTCAAGGAACGTGACGGAACGGATTTCCCATGCAGTGAAGTCGCTAGCATGGCCTGAAGCTGAACAAAGCTTTGGTGGGATTTATAAAGTGCTGTCTTTTAGTGTTTTTTGCCTGTCTTTAGTAGTGTTTTTTTTTCACACCAGCACCGGGGTTGTGAGTTAAAAAAAATTCTGAAATAACAGACCAATTTTCAGTGGATGCTGGAGCCAGACAGACATTGCACAGTGCACACAAATGACATTAAAAAACTACAAACAAATCGAAACAAAAAAAACCCCAAGCCCCGAAACCTAACCCTGTTATGGTAAAACGTTTCATCCTTAAAAACAAACACCCACCAAGCACCAAGAGCAAATCAGAGAGTAACATCTGCCTCCCGGTCCCCTGGCTTGTCCCAGCAAGGATGGATACTACGTAATACAAGCTCAGCAGCAATGGTTGAGAGCCTGAGCCTGCAGGCACTCAGCGCAAAACTCTCCCGGCATTCAGCTCCATGGGAGTGATCCAGTTTTCACCAAAGCCAAAGGGAACTCCCTACAGGCTTCAGCCAACTTTGGATTAGCCCCATAGATTGACAGAGGGAGCAGGACCTCGCTTTACAGACATCATTTTTCTATCCAGCCACAAAAGCCACCCCCTGAAATTCCTGGAGGGGTTTTCAACCTTCCCCCCCCCGCATGCATTTAACATCCATTACAGTTAATAGCAGTTACACATGCAGATCGATGGGAGAAAAGTCCCAGTCGAGAGGAGTTACTGGTAGTAAGAAAAGGAACCCAGTAGAAATGCTGAGAGTTACTAAGGACCCAGCTCCCTCCAGTGAATCCCTGTTTTGCCGGCCGGCAGGTGTCCTGCAGGAAGCTCTATGGTGTGTGTTGGGGTGTGCAGGGTGCGTGACGTGGGGCGAGCCAGCGGCGCCGTTCTGCCACCTCCATCCCAGCCGTGCTGCCACCTCCATCCCAGCTGTGCTGCCACCTCCATCCCAGCCGTGCTGCCACCTCCATCCCAGGGAGCGTCCGAGCGCCGGCCGCCCTCACTTGGGCGCGGCGTTGGTGAAATCGTCCTGTGCCGCGGCCGGCAGGGAATGGTCTATCCTGAACTCCTCCTCCAGCCCTCCAGGTGCCTTGGCTGCATCCCCCCGGGCTGCAGGCTGGCCACTGTCCGTGCCGCCCCCCTCCAGCCCCAGGATCTGTCTCTGCACCAGCTTGGAATAAAGGCCTCCTTCTTCCATCAGCTCCTTGTGCGAGCCCTGCTGCACCACGCGGCCCTTGTCCAGCACAATGATGTTGTGTGCCCTCTCCACAGTGCTCAGCCTGTGAGCTATGACAAGCACCGTGTGGTTCTGCAAGTCGCCGTAAATCGCCTGCTGAATCTGCGGGGAGAAAAGGCGTTAGTGCCCGGGCACTGGGAGAGCAGCAGCTTTGTGGTCTCTGTCCAGAAACCTCTGGACAGGGGATGTGCTCTCTGCTCCCTGCAGCACTACCAGCACAAACATGTCCAGCCCAGCTCCCGGCTGCAGCCCAAAGACCATCTCAGTCCAGCCAGGTGAGCTATGGGCACAGGTCTCACCCTGCAAGCTGGGGACTTGTTACAGCTGGGCCACAAATTTGGAGGCCACGTGGTGCTGGCAGAGACTGCAGGAATACCTGGTGACTGCAGCTGCTCAGAAAAGCAGAATTCTTTCCTCAGTGTATCAAGGCAAAGCAAGAGAGGTTTTTTCCAGTCAAGAGACAATAGCACTGACGTCTAAAGGCAGGCAGGTGGCCATCAGGCACATGTCACATTGACACCCCTGGGTAGCCAAAACCAACTCTGGGCTGGCACCAGGTACCGCACACGTGACTGAGGACCTGTGAGGCAGCAAGCTGCTCCAAGGTCAGATACTTGTGCTGCCCCAGCAGGATTTGTCCTCTGGGATTGGAGGCACATCCTCAAATCCCAACCTTGAACAACCTTTCCCTCATGGCATTGCATCAGGGAGGCCAAACTTCCAGACAGATAAACCAGTTCACAGGATGCTCAAGGCTTTTCCTGCAAGTGTGGCTTCCTTGGCTGGGATCTGAGCTCAGGCACTTTTGTGCTGCCCCAGCAGGATTTGTCCTCTGGGATTGGAGGCACATCCTCAAATCCCAACCTTGAACAACCTTTCCCTCATGTCATTGCATCAGGGAGGCCAAACTTCCAGACAGATAAACCAGTTCACAGGATGCTCAAGGCTTTTCCTGCAAGTGTGGCTTCCTTGGTGCCTTGGCTGGGATCTGAGCTCAGGCACTCCTACTCTCCTTGCTGCAGCACCATTTTATACAGTCTTCCTCTGTACCCTGTTCTAAAAGGCTGCACAGACTCTCTGTATGACAATTAACACCTTCCACACTGAAAAAAAATCAGCATCAGGTTTGTCAGGCATTGGCTGCTGTGAGCACCTTGGCTGGGATCTGAGCTCAGGCACTCCTACTCTCCTTGCTGCAGCACCATTTTATACAGTCTTCCCCTGTTCTCAAAGGCTGCACGGACTCTCTGTATGACAATTAACACCTTCCACACTGAAAAAAAATCAGCATCAGGTTTGTCAGGCATTGGCTGCTGTGAGCATGGAATTATTCCTTTCCTGGTGGCTACAAATTCCTGCTACGGAACTGCACTTTACTCAACCCTCTGCTAGCACCATATCAAGAATAAGTTTGTCCACTGGCTGGAAACTGAGGCTACAGCCTGTCCTCCAAGCCCTCTCTGGCCCCAGCAGCCAGGCCCCCACTCACGGCGTGCTCGCTCTCTGCATCCAGCGCGCTCGTGGCTTCGTCCAGGATGAGGATGGGAGGGGCTCGGATCAAGGCCCTGGCAATCGCCACTCTCTGCTTCTGCCCACCTGACAGCTGAGCTCCTTTTTCCCCTGCCTCTGTTGGGTCAAGGGAGAGAGGAAGGGGTCAGAATGAGAACCAAGAGGTGCCAGGACGTGCAGAGCCAGGCCCAGCAGTGCCATACCTGTGTGGTAGCCGTCCTGCAGCTCGGTGATGAAGTTGTGGGCGTTGGCCTTCTGGGCAGCCTGCACCACGGACTCGAAGGAGGCTGAGGCCAAGCCATAGGAAATATTGTCTGCAATGGAGCGGGCAAACAGCACGGGCTCCTGGCTCACCAGGGAGATCTGCAGGAAGCAAAGGGAGAGCGGGGTCAGGAGCAGAAGATGTGCTGCGTGATATCACTGACCATTGATATTTGTTCCTGCTGAGTAAGGACCGAGATCAAGATAGAGAAATGTCATTAACCAAGACAGAGAAGTCCTCAAGGTGAGCTTCCAGTGAGGATGCCAACATCAGGGTACCCAGTTTGCATCTTTTGCTTGAAAGCCATTTTGCAGGAAAGAAACCTAATGCAATGCTGGCATGTTGGCATCTGGGATGGGTTCCCCCTCCTAAAGCCTGCTGTGGTTTTGCTCCAGATCTGTTATTCCCATCACTGTTTGCTTTTCCCAGAATGGAAAACCAGTTGCTGGGATAAGTCAGGCCGGAGAGACCCTCTCCCAGGCCCTTGCTGATTTTCCTTTCAAGGCCAGTAGTCACACTTGGGCCATATGAATGAGCCCTCTTGCATCTTTTGATCCCAAATGAGCAAGTTAGGGAAGTAACTGCTGCAACTCCTTAATTGCTTAGCAACAGCCTCCCTGTCCTGCCTTACAGCCGTGGCTGTTCACTGTCATGTTCAGATGCTCTATCAAATCCTTGATATTGGAATAAATCAAACCTTTCAAACTAGTACTCAGAATAGTGCATGAGAGACCCAGGGAGACACAGTCATTTTTAACTAACTTCTCCCCATGCCCCTAACACCACACCAGGCTTTCTAAACTGAAAGATTTGCCTGGCCTTTGATTTTTGCTCTGTACGGGCAGGGAATGTAAATTAGTCACAGTGACTTTGGCTTTCCAGCCTGTCTCTGATCAATTGTTTTCAGGTTTTCCTGCTGACTGCTGAGCCATTTGCTCTGGGGGCAAACAAAGGAGGCAGTTACTTGCAGAGATGAAGGCTGATCTGTGCTGACACACAGATGAGAGCTGAGGGGCCCGGACCCCTCTCCTAGGCAAAGCACCAGCCCTTCTGGTGCTCCAGCTGCTGCCAGGATCCTGAGAGGTTTAACTCCCAATTAGCTGAGAATTACTCTAAGATCTTAAGGTAGAAATTGCTGGAGGAATACAAAACTCTTTTTCCAAACCCAATTTAAATGATAATTAATCCAACAGCCAAAAACATATTTCTACTGTGTTGGCCAAAAAATACCAAACAAAAGATGTTTTTTGTTCTGTTTTTGTAAGCCTTCCCCTTCCCCTTGAAACCACTCTCCATCCCCTTCCCTTCCACCCCCACAAATTATCCAAATTAATTTCTTGGACCACTTCCAGCCTCCAGCTTTCTGGACATTTCTGGAGCTGCCAGATCACATCCAAAGCAGCGTGCAGCAGTGCCATGCATCCCCTCAGAGCCCTGCAGGTGGTGAGTGGGCTAAGCAGAACAATCACAACCAGAATACAGGTAGCAGTCGCTCGTACCACGGAGTGCAGGTACTTGTGATCGTACATGTTAATGGGACGCCCATCCAGCAGCACCTGCCCGTCCTGCAGAGGGTAGAAGTTCTCCAGGATGTTGACACAGGAGCTCTTCCCACTCCCTGAAGGACCCACCAGCGCTGTCACTTTGCCAGGGTGCAGGGTGAAGGACACGTCCTGCAACATGGATGGGAGAGCATGCTCAGGTCCAGGCTTTTCTCAACATCCTGGGCACTACACAGGAGAAGGAGCCAGAATCTGGCCAAAGTGCCCCTCTGCCCTGGTGACGTGCCACATCAGCCATTTCTCCTGGCTCTGAGGAAGCAAAAAGCCTCCAAATTGCTTCAGATTTGCCTGCTGATGTAGCAGGAGCTCCAAAAAGCAAACTGACCTCTTTGCTGCTTCCCCCTGTCCCATGATCCCAGCCCCTCTCCCACGGAAACAGTCTGAGGCAGCTTGGCACAAAGCCCTGTACCACGCTGACATGTTTAATGCCTGAGCAGGGAACAAGGGTTTTATTGATAAATCTCATTCCTTGTAAGGAAGGCCGGCCCTAAACACCCGCTGCTCCTTTTAATCTGTTTCCCAGCAGGCACTGAGCCTGCCTTTACACATCTCTGACAGGCAGCTGCCACTCCCCACGGGCTGGGGTTTGCTCCTGGCCACGATGGAGCAGCAGTGGTGCTGGGAGTGCCCAGGGGCTCACCTGGAGGACCTGGGTGGCAGAGCGAGTGCGGTAGGAAAAGGTGACATTCCTGAACTCCACCTTCCCCTCCACGTGGTCCGGGGCCAGGGAGCCGTCGTGCACCATGGTGGGCTGGCGGTCGATGAACTCAAAAACCTTCTCAGCAGCCCCCACGCCCTGCATGAGGCCGCTGTACACGGAGCCGATGGACTGCAAGGGAAGAGGCAGCAGTGAGACCCTCCTGAGGGATGGGGAAATCAGCCAGTGCCACTCAGAAGGGGGATGGCTGAAGCACTCCCCAGTCTGCCATCGCCTGACACTGACTGCAGGCATCAGACACAGGGGAAGGAAACTCTCCCTCCTCTGTTGGGTATGGAAGGGATACACGGACAGCCCTGGGAAAGGGTGTTTTGCAATATTAAACCCAGTGCTGCAGAACAGTTTGTACTGTAGCTGGCCCTCCCAGCAGGAGGGGGGGAAAAACCCCAAACCAAACTAAATCCACACCAAAACCACAGCCTGGAAACCCCAGCAGAGCCTGCAGTGATCTGAACAGATGGTGAGAGCCGGGCAGGCTGCCTCTAGCTCTGCTCTGCCCCTGCACAGAGGCTGAGGCACCACCAAAACCACACTTGGCTGTGAGGAAACCTCGACTGGATCATTCCTGCCTGGATTAGCCAAGTTGATGCCTCTGCAAGGGGAAGGCAGCCCTGGGTGGGCTCTACCATCCCACCCACAATCCCATCCTGCTAATGTGCTGCCAACGCAGCAGCTTGCAGCCTATTCCAGGGAAAGGAAAAAAAAATATAATTAAGTTTTTAATGAAGCCTGAAATTTAACAGGCAGCTTTGTAATCCCTTCATTCTTCACTCCAGGAAATGTGCTTGGCAGGCAGCCAGGGCTCTGCCCTTCAGCAGGGCCAGCCCGACCCCTCTGGTCCCAGCTGCCCTTTTGGGGACAAGCTGCTTCAGGAACATGAATCGTGTGAGACCACAGCAGGAATGGGGAGCAGAGGGGACAATCCCCCCTCTGGTAGTACCACAGCACCAAAGAAATGAGTCATGGAAAGTCAGCACTGAATCTATCCCTGCAACTGCCCTGGGACCTTCTGGGAGAGATGAAGGGATAAGCCAGAGTGTGGGCAGCTGCCCTTTTGGGGACAAGCTGCTTCAGGAACATGAATCGTGTGAGACCACAGCAGGAATGGGGAGCAGAGGGGACAATCCCCCCTCTGGTAGTACCACAGCACCAAAGAAATGAGTCATGGAAAATCTGGATCTATCCCTGCAACTGCCCTGGGACCTTCTGGGAGAGATGAAGGGATAAGCCAGAGTGTGGGGAGGCCCTGGCACACGTTGCCCAGAGAAGCTGTGGCTGCTCCACCCATGGAAGTGTCCAAGGCTGGGCTGGATGAGGCTTGGAGCAACCTGGGAAGGTGTGGAAGGTGTCCCTGCCCATGACAGGGAGCTGGAATGAGACAGTCTTTAAGGTCCCTTCCAACCCAACCCAGTCTGGGATTCCCTGCTAAAAGTGCCTCACCTCCATGCAGTCCCCCAGCACGAACTCATAAATGATGAAGGATATCAGGTTTCCACTTGTCATTTGCCCAGAGATCACGAGGTGCCCACCGTAGTAAAGGATGCTGACCTGGACCACCAGCAGGGTCAGCTGAAAGCAAGAAAACACCCCGGAATCAGCAAGGACAAATGGATATTTTGGTGTATTTGTCATTACTCACACAACAGCCCAAACTTCATGTGCTGACATTTATTTTTGAGCCCTGAGCTGAGGATCCCTGACAGTGCAGCTGACAGCCCTAGCAGCGAGCATGGAAATGAGAAAAACAACTCAAGTACACGGGCTGATTTAAGGAGCTGGGCAGATATCTTTCAACAAAACAAGTCCCGAGGGACAACAGCCAAGGAGGCAGAATTTATCTGAAATAACAGAGCATCTCATGAACTTCTCTCTTGGACTAAGGTCCTCAAGCATAATAATCTATGTTCAAATTATCCAAGGCATGCAGTCACCTCACCACTAAAATAAACTTTCTGTTATATGAGTGTGACACATTTTAATTTAGAACACAAAACCAAGCCAGGAGTTAATGCAGAATATCCTCCTTGCCTGTACAAGTCCCTGAAGCATAACCCCAGTGTCGCCTGAACTCAGTGTGGGGGTACCACCTACTCTAGAAAGGAGACAGATCAGCTCTAATGTGACAAATACCAGCCCCTTTTATTCAGCTGGTTTTGTTCCATGCTGCCCAGGTGCTCCAAAAAGCAGTGATGCCCTGGTGCCCTGTGGGACCAGAAGAGGCTGTAAATTCACACAGACAAAAATACAGGGGGAAAAAAGCCTCCTCTATAGCTCTGCCATGGTCTGACCTTAAGCTCCTGTGTTCCCTCCAAGAAAGATTCTACCAGGGCTGAGCTATATCCGTTGTCTTCTTTGAGCCCTGTAGGAGTGGTTTTTGACGGCTTTTGCCTTCTTAGATTTGTCAGGATCAGTGTCAACCCAGCTCATGCTCCAGCTCCACCTGGGAGCCCAGAAACAATGCTAATGATGCTCCCATTTTGTTCCCAGACTTGGGAAGCCATAAAGTCTCTCACAGCTGCATGAAGGCACCATAACTCACAGACCCTTCACCAGCGACGTGCAGAGACAAGGGCAGCCTCACGTGAGGGTTTTGCCCTGGAGAAATCCCAAACCATCTGGTGTTAAATGATGAAAAAGCATTTTGCAAGAGGGGAGGGGGGCAGAAAAAAAGCCCAAAGCCAAAGCCCAGCAGCCTCCCCCTGCCACCACCCACACGCAGAAGATGTCTGTTCCTGAGCAGAAGCTCAACCAACGCCGCGCTGTTCCAGCCGGAGCCCGGAGCGGAGCTGGCACAGGCACACACTGCAGCACCACGCAGCCACGGGCTGCTCCACGACCTTGAGCTCTTAGCAATTATTGCCCCATTTGCAGGGGAAAACAGGCAGCTCCAGGGAATGACACAACGCTGCCTCGGGGCGGAACGGGATGCATTTTTTGATGGATAAAAATAACAAATGATCAAGAGCCCGGGGATCACTGGCAGTGGACAGCAGGGCTGGGCTCACCCCACAGAGTTCCCTGGGAGCAGAGGAGATCCACGTGTGCTTTGGGATCTGGAGAGACTCCCCTGCCCATCCCAGCCCCACGCAGGGAAGCCCCAGGGCCATCCACCTACCCCACTGGACCAGACGTAGTAGGTGTAAGCCATGGCCTCCCGCTTGTTGAGCTTGTACACCTGCTGCAGCTTCTGCCAGTACACGTTGGCCTCCGTCTCCTCGTTGGCAAAGCTGCGGACGGTCTTCATGGCCGAGATGGTCTCCTCAGCCGTGTTGTTGGCCTTGGCCAGAGCGCTCTGCACATCCTTGGAGAGCTTCTGCAGGGAGCAGGGGGAGGCAGAGGGAGCTCAGCGGGTGCCAGGCTGCCCATAGCACATCTCCCCGCTCACCCAGGGCTCTGGGACCCCACCAGGTGACTCCAAAGGGGGAGGGGAGATGGCATGAGGACAGGCAGATGCATACAGGGCATTCCACAGCCCAGCCACCTCTCTATCAGACCTGAGATGCTTCCACTCCTGAGCAGGAAGCAAGGTAAGAGCCCAGGCTACGCCTGTCTGCCCACACAGGTTTAATGTCACCTTTCTGTCCCCACTGCTGGCAGCAAAACACTCCAGCATCACTCCCATCAGCTCCAAGGCCACCCACAAGCTCCCTGATGCTTCACAGGGAGAGCAGCCCAGCACTGCGGCAATGCCAGCTGCTCCTGCCTACCTGGTAGTACTTCCCATAGACATCAGACACCAGCATGATGATGGGGAAGCCCATGAAGGTGACCAGGGAGAGCTTCCAGGAGAGGCTGAACATGAAGAAGATGACGCCCGTGGCCTTCACCACGTTGCGCAGGAAGATGTTGATGTTCTGCGAGACCAGGTCGCTCACGATGGTCGTGTCCGACGTCAGGCGGGAGATGACGTCCCCTGCAGCAACGAGGGGTCAGGGAAAGGAGAGCAGGGACGTGTCACCACGGCAGGGCACTGCCTAACCGTGTCCCACATCCCCTGCCAGGGGCTGATGGAGCTCCCCATCCATCCAGCTGGGGTCTGAAGGGTGGCGTGGAAGGCGGGCCGCTCTCCACCGCTGTGGGTGCAGAGCAAAACAGAGCAGCTTGGACTGCAGCATGCACGAGGAGCAGGAGGTGGCACCTGAAGGCACAAGCTGCATCCCTGGGTCGCCAGGGGTGGCTGCAGGACAGCAAAGGGGACTGTGGCAGCATCCTGTGCTGGAGGGCAGCCCACAGGCCACACACAGTCCACAGCCTGGAGCTGGCCCCAGGGACCTGAGGACATGGGTCCAGCTACTGAGGGGTGAAGCTCTGGCGGTGCCTTTTGGTGGAGCTGAGTGTTACAGCCAGCAAACATCACACTGAGCTCCCGAATCCTTGGCCTGTGTTTGAGTCCAGCTGAATTCCCTGCTTTTGTGCAAGTCCAGGGTTACCCACATCCCACTTCCAGTAACATCGCTGCTGCCCTCAGCTACCAAGGCACTGTGCAGTGACTGCTAAATACAGCAGCAGCCTCAAAACTAAAAATACCACTGAGACAAAATTAAACGTGTGCAAGTTACACCAGAGTGGCACACACGGCCTGGGACTGGGACAGGACTGAACTGGAAGCAGGAAAGCAACAAGCACACCCAGCAAGCCTCACACATCTGAGGTTTCAGGGACAGGAGCAGAGCTGGAGAGCAGCCCAATAGGCACTGATGGGAGGAAGGAAATGGGGAGTTTTGGGGGTGGGATTTCTGGATGCCAGGCTGATGGGTGGCAATGGGACATCCCCACGGTGGAAGGCAACAGAAAGGGAAGAGCTTTCTGTCTCTATTTCTAACCACAAGCACGTGGGTGCTGCCTCTGGCTGCCCCCAGTCCGCTGTATGGCAGTAGAGCAAGCCAAGGGGAAAAAATCTGGGATGGGATAGAGGGGTTAGAGCAAATCCAGGGGAGAGAGGAACCAACCTGTGCGATTCTCATCAAAAAAACTCATCTCCTGAGACACCAGGGACCTGAAGAGGCAGTTCCGCAGGCGGATGTTCAGCCGTGCAAAGATGAGCGTGAAAACGCCGCCCCGGATACCTGCGGCAAATGAGCTAATTGCAGATAAGAAACGTTATAGAGCCATGGACACGAAACCCTCTCAGCAACACCAACACCCCCACGCCGGGCCGAGGGCCTGGGCAGTGCTGACACCACTTATCACCAGCCCACACCTCTCTGGGTGCCACCAGCGCAGCGGTGGCTGGTCCTAATCGTGGCAGTCACAAGGTTTGGGAAGGAACGCAGCACTGCTGGAGCAGCACTCCCCAGGGAACCCATTCCCTGCGTCCAGTCCTGCTGCCCCACCTCCAGCGGATGGACACGAAGGGTCACACAAAGGCCTCGTGACTGCCAGCCACAGCCTCTCTGTGCAGAGAATTCACAGCACATCCCTGGGGCCTGGCAGTAAATTGGTGGAGCGAGTGCCTGTGCCCACCATCACCACGAGCTCCTGTGGGAAAACCCCAAACTCCTTGGCAGGGCCAGATCCAGCCCCTGCATTACCTTCCTATGGCGAGCAGTGACATGACCAGCACTGCCGTGGAGAAGCGATCCATGCTCTTCTGCACCACGATGCCGTCGATGGCCAGCCCTGTGTAGTAGGGCAGGAAGGTCTCTCCTGCAGGACAAGCACAGGACAAAGGGTTCAGCCCCACTGCATGGAACTGGCACAGGATCTGTATTCCCAACTGTGACAGCCTGTGGACAACCCCATCCCCACCCCAGAGATACTCAGCCATCACACAATGGGGACGTTGCATTCCAGAGTATTTTATCCCCCATTGCATTTGGTGTTGCCCTGTTGCATTTTTCACCCACCCCATGCAGCACGTGACACCCAGCACCCCCAAGAAAAACAATCCTAGGGTGCTTCCATGCCCCACCACCAAGGCTCCTCCATGCCTCCTGGTGGGAATGGGAGCACACCACGGCCTGCCTGGTCCCTTCACTCACCCAAGGCGGCCACGAGGAGGAAGAAGGAGGCGATGCCCAGGAACAAGGCATCCGGCTTGGTGTAGGACAGCAGCTTATGGATGGTGGGACCTGCTGCCTCCTCCCTCTTGTCCCTCGGGGTGCCCCCATCACAGCTCTCCTCCACCTCGGCGCGGGACTCGGAGCTGGGCCCCAGCGCCTCGCGGGAGGAGGTGACACAGGCCAGCAGCTGCCACAGCCCGAAGGTGGCCGCCAGCGCCACGTAGGTCCAGGCAAAGAGCCCCCAGAACCAGGGGTCCCTGATGGTCTTCCGCACCTCCGAGTAGAGCAGCAGCTTCACCATCATGTAGATGCCCATGAGGAGGCAGACGACGGCGATGAAGGTCCGCGACGCCCTGAGGCGCCGGGGGCCGTAGGCCGTGTTGGTGGCCACGCCGATGGCGGCGCCCAGCAGCACGCAGCTGCGGTACAGGCAGCCCCCCCAGATGTCCAGCAGCGAGTTGAAGATGTTGAAGTGCCGCAGGTCCTGCAGGACATTCCGGCCGCCCTGGCCGTGGGTGTAGAGCAGCGTGGTGACCGCCACATCGGCCCCGCTGAGCGCCAGCGTGCTGGCCACCGCCTTCCAGGCGCGCATCCTCGCCGGGCTGGGTCACCGACGCGCTGAGGGGCAGCCCTAACACAGCAAGGACGTGCTCATGTCGGCCTCTGCTGCGGGGTGAGAGAGGGGAACGGGGTTATTTAGCCCAGGGAGGAGGCAGGGAAAGGGAAGCAGGATGGGGGGACAGCCATGCCAGCTCCCCAGCAACTCATCCTGACCGCAGACACCTCTGTCTGCACCTCCCTCCCCGGCTGCACATGGTGTTTCATTAAATGAGCAGCACAGAGGAAGACAAACTTCCCTCCCGGATGCCTCCACCCATCCTGAATCCCAAAGCAGAAATCTGCACATCCCGATGGGGATCTGGCTATGGTGCTGCCATCACATCCGTGCAGCCATGTGTCCTGCATGGAGGCGTTAAACTTGGACAGTCATGATCCCACAGTCCCTGCCCACCTTTCCCAGGACAAAGCTGAAACCAAGCAGTCATAACCATTGGAAAGCAGACAGGGGAGCAGCTCAGCTCTGTAAGGGATCCCCCTCATCAAAATAAGACTAAACCACATGAACCGCAGCTTGCCACACCTTACCGTCCCCAGCCCTCTTGGATATTAATTCGGGGTAGCTGTGCAGCCAGCGCGCAGTTCAATGACACAACAAAAATCCCGAGAGGAAATTAAAAAGGGATTGGAATTCCACGGCTGCTCCCGCGGGAGAGGAAGGCTCCGGGGCGGGCGGACGCTGCCCGTGCTGCCGCCGCTGTGCCCGGTGGGGCAGGCTCCGACCGGACACGGCAAGGGGCGGAAAGCTCGACTTGCCCTGAGCCCAGCGAGCCGCTCACGGTGCCATGCCCCGAGCAGCCAGCGCTGGCAAGAGGGAGGTGCCCGACGATCCCGAAATTTGCGCTGGCTCAGCGCTGGTGACGGTGCACAGTGCGCACCAAGGGCGCCATGTGCCGGCCACGCTCCGGCCTGGTGACCGCAGCGCCCCAAAACCAAACCGCGGGGACCAGGGGCACCAAACCACCGGAGCCGGACAAGCTGCGCCCCTGGGGAGAGCCGCCCGGCGGCCGGGCAAGTGGGATAGATAGCTAAAGAGCGGAGGAAGGCAGGGCAGAGGCTGCGGTTTGGGGGAGCACGGGGCGGGTGGGGAAGGAGGGACGGACGCAAAGCGGAGCAGCGATGCCAGGGAGGAGCGGCACACGCTTCCCAGGGTGCTCGCTGCTGCCATCCGCTGCAAAGCTGCGCGGATCCGGCCCACGGACGAGGAGGAGGAGGCAGCACCGCAGCTCCTCACCACCCGCAGCAGCGTCCCCAGCCCCCGAGCTGGAGCAGCCCAATGTCCCCACTCGCGTCCCGCCCTCCCCGCGCAGCAGAACGTCCCGAGGCGGGGACGGGGAGACACCCGGGAAGGGCCGTGCCCGCCGCAGCCCGGCCGGGCGCGCACACGCGGCTCCCCGTCCCGAGCAGCCCGGGCCCGGCCCGCGCGGACGGCTCTTACCGGCGGCGGCGCCCCTCCTGCGGCGCGCGCCCGGCCCCGCCCACGGCCCGAGCGAGCAGCGGCACCGGGGACCCCAAAATTCGGGGTTGCGGGGGGGCCCCCGGTCCCCCCGCTCCGCTCTGTCCCGGTAAACCCCGCCCCGACACAGGCCCGGAATTTTCCCCGCCTTAGGTCTTTTATCTCCCCAAATATACACGTTTTTAATTTTTAAAAATTATTTTATTAGTTCTATGTCATTTCTGGAGTAGAGAGGGAAAATACAACACAGGAGTTGGCTCAAAAGCAACCGGGAAACGAGCTTGAAATAATATTTTAAGTTAATCCTTAAACAGGGGCTCGATGGGTTTAATTAACCCCTTAAGAGGGACTTGACAAGGGTTTAATTAACCCCTAATACAGAGGAATCCACTTTCAAGAAATCCAGCTTGTAAATTATTTTCCCCTTCACCTCCAACTCTTAAGGAATAGAAGGGCTCAGGCTCTTCCCTGGACAGCATCCATGCATCCAGGTGAGCTACACAGGTGACAGAGGGGCAGTGTCATTATCCCAAAATTTCCAGGTATTTTTGGAGTGCTGGGCTTAAAAACACCCCTGTGACCCTCACTAGCACAGGCACAGATGTCAGAATTCCCGGAGTTTGGCACCATTTCTGCAGAGAACAGAATGGTGACATTACAAAAGACAAAATCATTTTTCTCTGCCTGGATAAGCAAAACCAAAAATACCACGTTCTGTTGTTGGTTTTATTTCTGCTATTAAGTGCTTCAAACAAAACATTAGAAAACAAAAAGATCTCTCACTTCAAGCCCTTCCCACATCCACCAGGAACACAGTCAGAGCTGGAGTGACTATTCCTGGCTCAGGCTCTCAGCAGGGACACCTTCAAGCTGCAGGAAACATTGTCCGTGGCTGGTCTGGTTTCTGCTTCTCCTCCACCTGCAGGTAACTCCCAAACTCTGACCGAAGCCAGATCACTCCCGGGCTTTGGTCTGCACCCAAACACTCCCAAAGGGCAACTTCCGAGCCACAGCCAAGGTGGAGCTTTTGGCAGGACCGAGTCTCTCCCTGCCAAACCTAAACGAGGACAGTGCCACCTCCCCTCGTCCGAGGGATGATCCAAGGGCAAACCCGGACCAGGAAGGGACTGAACAGACCCCCTTGTCTGAACCTTCCCCCTCCTTTCTCCCAGGACAGAGCAGGCACGTCTGCAGCCTGCTCTGCCACGCAGCTGGGCCACAAACCCTGGGGACGGCGCGCTGCCCCCGGCGCCGCGTGACCCCGGCACGCCCGGGGTTAACGGGGCTTCTTCCCGGCCATGCTCTGCTCGGGGGGCAGCACCGTCTGGATCTGGAACGACACAAACTGGCCCTTCTTCAGCTTCTTCAGGGAGCCGGCAGGGCTGCCCTCAAACACGTTGTCTTCCACCTTGAAGGCCAGGGAGGGCAGCCCGCGCGCTCTCCTCTTGGCGCCCTTGCGCTCGTGCTTGCAGGCCGGGGCCATGTTGGAGATCACCTGCCAGGAGAACGGAGGGGCTGGGCTTCCAGTGTCACTCAGCAAGCAGCCCAGCTCTGACACAAGCCCAGTGAATCACAGAATCCTTAGGGATGCAATCCTTAGCTCTGGAGACCATCCAGGCTGAGCCCATGTCCACCTGGAGCAGGTGACACAGGAGCGCGTCCAGGTGGGTTTGGAATGTCTCCACAGAGGGAGAATCCACGGCCTCCCTGGGCAGTTCCTGTGCTCTGCCACACTTAATGGAAAGAAGGTCTTCCTCATGCTGAGGTGGAACTTCTTGTGGTTTAGTTTATGGCCACTCCCCTTCATCCTGTCACTGGGCACCACTGAGAAGAGCCTGGAACCATCATCTGATGCCCCTCAGAGATATTCCTATGGTTGATGAAATCCCCTCTCAGTCTTCTGCAGACTGAGCAGGCCCAGCTCCCACGGTCTCTCCTCATAAGAGAAGCTGAGAGTGAGTGAGAGCTGGCAGTGCCAAGCTGGATGCACCTGGGGCAAGGGAGGGACTCAGCAGGGACTTCCCAGCCTTGCTCTCACCACCCCAAACCAGGAGCCCTTGCAATGTGAAGCTGCAATCCCACAGCCGTACTCAGAGCTGTCAGTCAGCAGAGGGCAGAAGGGGATCTCGGCTGGAGTGCCTCAAAGCCCAGGGAAGCTTTACCACCTCCTGTTAATTACAGCCCCACTCCCTGCCTGGATGCAGGAGGCTCCCTCGGGGACAGGGCAGAGCCCTCACTGCCCTGTGCCAGGATGTGCAGCTCCATTTCACAAAAGGGAGCTGAGCGAGTGAACCTGAGCTGCCAACGGGATCAGATCCTACATATCCAGTTCCCAGGCCCTCCTCCCTCCTGTCCCATATTCCTCCTGTCATTCCTGCTGAGAACAACCACAGTCCAGGTGAGATCAGAGAGAACCACATAGCCCTGAGTGTAAGAAATGACTGAGCAAACAAAGCACTTGAGCCTTGTCTGTGGTTTTTTGGCACACAGCTCACCAAGCACTTCACAGGGGACACCGAGGTCATTTTTCAAGTGAGGGAACCAAGGACTAGAGAGGCAAAATGAGCTGCCCAAGGTCAACCAGCACGTCAGAGACAGTCAGGAGCTGCGTGCTGACTTTGCTTTCCAAGCCCATACCCCTGCACATTGGGTCACTACTCCTCATGGCAGTCCAAACCTCCTCACATTTTGGAGCAGGGCTACTTTAAACCTTTGCAGCTACACAGCATCTCCCAGAAGGCTTCTTGTCCCTGCCTAAGGAGGGACTCCTTTGGCCGATCTGGGATGCAGATTACAAGGCAGGGAGCTGGGCAGGCTGGGACACAGCTCTCATTAGCCTGATGGGGCAAGCCAGTCCCTCGTATTTCATCACCCACCTCTGAGCAGCACCACCAGCACCTCCCCTGTGGCGCTGGCCCAGAGGGGCCAGCTCTGCCCCTGGTGCCCTTGGCACACACTGAGGTGCCACCTCTCCTGCAAAGTAATTTCAAGGCACCACAAGACTTACAATCTCCTTCACCATGCTCTGCTGCTCCTGCACCGTGGCGGTGAACGGCGGGAGGCTGTCGGCCTCACCGGAGCCAGCCCCCTGCTCTTTAGAGTCCTTGACAAAATCCACCTGCAAGGCACAGATCCGGGTGTTACTCTGCAACCACGGCAGGGACAAAGCTCCTGCAAGGCTCCCCTGGGCCGGGCAGTTACCTCTGAGGACAGGCACACGTATCTGTTGAACATGAGGAAGAAGGGGCTGTACTTGGTGGCGGAGTTGACCGAGGTGCGGAACTCGAAGAGGACAGGGTCCAGGTGTGCGTCCCACTCGCTGGGCTTCTCGTTCACCACGCTGCAGATGGAGGCCCTGAGCACCTCAGCACTGCAGTCGCCAGGGCTGAGAGGGTCTGTGAGGTCTGTGGGTGTGAGGAGCTGCGAGATGCTCCAGCGCTCGCACAGGTGCCGGCTGACCTGGGAGAACACGGAGACCACGGCGTGTCAGCCCCACAGCAGCCTCCAGGGCACTGTCCCCCTGTGCCAGGACAGGCACTGTCCCCCCTGTGCCAGCAGAGGTGCAGCACAAAATGCTCCCCAGAAAAATTAGAGCTTGAGAAAATGTTTTGCTACGACTGCACCCGTGCTTGAAGCTCTCCACAGTGCTGAGGAGCTGGGTTAATCCCAGGGTAGGGCTGGAATTTTGTGCACATGGTCTTTCCTTCTAAGCAGAGAGGACTTGGATCCACAACCTTCAATCCCTGCCATGGTGAAAGCACTGGCAAATCAGCTCCTACTCCCAACAGGGCTGGGGTAGGGATGTGGCAGCATCAGCACCTTGCCCCCCTACACAGCACATCATAGCTCTGCCTTCAGGAGCTGCTGAAGGTCACACTGCCCAGAAAACCTGCTGGAGGTCACACTGCCCAAAAAACCTGCTGGAGGTCACACTGCCCAAAAAACCTGCTGGAGGTCACACTGCCCAGAAAACCTGCTGGAGGTCACACTGCCCAAAAAACCTGCTGGAGGTCACGTTGCTCCCCCCTGAACGACCCCACACCAGACCTACCTCCTCGCAGAAGTCCCAGCTCTGACTGGTGTAAATGTTCTTGGAGGCGCCAAACCTGGGCAAGAAGAAGACACACAACTGGTTTTACTCCATCAGCTGAGGCAGAGCCCAAGGAATTCCATCTTTATGGGTGCAAATGGGACAGGAAGGGGACAGGACCCTCCAGTGGAACTGGCGCTATCAAGGCTGCCACTGGTTTTACTCCATCAGCTGAGGCAGAGCCCAAGGAATTCCATCTTTATGGATGCAAATGGGACAGGACCCTACAGATGAGGCTGCTGTGACCTCCCCAAGAGCAGAGAGATGTTTGCTGGTCCCTCTGTTCCAAACCAGCCATGCCTGTTTGCTTTGAATGATGAGGCAGCAGGGGAAATGAGAGCAGCTTCTTGCTCTGAACTCAAATCTCCACTGGCCCCACGCTGTTTTCCACAAGGACAATGTCACGTGGTGACACTAACACTTTCTAGGAGAAATCTGGGAATGGCTTTAAAGCTTCTGCAGAGAACTGGGACACAGCTCCCCTGGCCTCGGGCTACTCAGGGAAATATTTCTGCCTCTTTCTTTTCAGCCCATAACAGGAGGATAGCAGGCTTTTCCCAAGGACTTTGTAAACAGCAACTGAGAGGCACTGCATGGTCCCTCCTGTAGAAGGGAGAGTTCCTGCTCTCACAGGAAAACATCCTGAGGACACCAGGTTTCTGCAACACATCCCAGTGCTCCCCATTGCACTGCAGGGATGCAATGTAACCAACAGCAGAGGAGCCCACCTGTAAAAAACAGTAGCCAGGGCTTTAGCCACGGAGAAGGGATCTTTCTTCTGCAGAGGAGCAGCCTCCACCCACTTGGTGAAGTAGTCAGTCACGAGCAGGACGTGTGTGTTGCCCTGGCTTGTCTCAGGAAAAGGCCCTGCGTAAACAAAAAAAAAAATAAAATCAATGTTGTGCCCTCATATCCCCCAAACGGGCAAAGCGAAAAACCCAGTCGCTGCAGAAGTGACCACGACTCTCTTCTGCAATGTCCTTTGGCCAGAACATTTTCAGTGACCTTGGTCAGCAAAAAATACACCATGGGAGCTTCAACCCTGGGGAAGAAGGCCTGCCCACAGCTCTCCTGTGTGTGCAGGGGGAGCCCAGCCAAGCCCAGGGATCAGGTTGCAGCCTGGGCGGCTGCTGTGGCCTCCTTGGCACCTCCTCAGAGGCAGCGGCAGCTCTCCCTCGGGGCGTGTGGCAGCAGGTCTGCCACGCTCCGGGCCGAGGGGAGGAGCCCCGAGAGCCACTTGAGACACTCACTCACCGTGGATGTCTAATCCCAGCACTTCCCAGGGGGATTCCACCCTGGTTTGAGACACTCACTCACCGTGGATGTCTAATCCCAGCACTTCCCAGGGGGATTCCACCCTGACGGGCCGGGCTTGCCGCATCACGCTCTTGTTGTGCTCTGCGTTCTGGCACGTTTCACACATCTTGATCTGCAGAGAGAAAAAGAGGGATCAAAGGGCTTGGGCATGTGCTGATGGATCCTGTCAGACTCAGACGGCACCGTGAGACACACAGCAGGGCTGAGCACTTTCCTTTCTCCCACTAAAATAAGGCGGTGCAGGAAAAAAAGGGCGAAGCACAACAGGCTGACGCATCTCACCTTCCACCAGGCTCACCTGACAGCTTTCTCTGACACAATAACCAAATTTCTCAACGTGGCCTACAGCTAAGCTATTTCTCACCCCATTTCCTGGCAAATTTTTATTGCATTTTGACCTCCTACTGCTGGCCAGAGAAATCCTCAGCCCTGGGATGCTGGAGTTGCTCAGAGCATGCAATGCAAGCACACTCCTTAAACCACAGTGCTGCAGAGTCCTGCTCAGGGAACTGCCAGCAACGAAACAGGCGAGGCAACCAGCTGAGCAGACACTGAGATCCTCCTCCTGCCACTGTTTAGGGAATTGGGCAGCTCTGGAAAGAATCCAAACTGCCCAAAGCTAGGCTCAGCAACTTGTCTGAAGCAATCCCACATTGCCATGCTGACCAAAACTGCCCTGCACGAGGAAGCTGAGGAGGTTTCCTGACACTCAGGGGAAGACATCCAGCCTGCCCAGCCGCCTGGGGACGTTCCAAGATCCACCTGCAGAGCAGCTCGGCTGTGGCTTCCCAGCACATGCCCGGGGAATGACATCATCCCTGCACCAGGCTCCTGTGGCTGCTGCCTCGGGACTGCTGCCAGCACCGGTGTCACGGACACGGTCACTGCTCTCCACTTACCCAGTCCACAACATCCTTCACGATGCCCAGCCAGTAGTACCGGCTCTGGATGCGGTGCACGGTCTTCTTCTGGCCCAGGTGGTTCCCGATTTCGGTGAAATGGCTTTCCAGGAAGACCTGGCGCCTCCGCTCGGGATCCACGATCACCTCGCGCTTCTCCTCCTTCTTGGGTCCCACGTAGTAGAGGCAGCCGCCTGCGGATGGCAGAGGTGTGTGTGCCATAATGCCCTCCCAGAGCGGCTCGCCTGCAGAACCGGGTCACTGCACGCTGGGACCCAGCCGGGACACAGCCCCGGGGGCCGCTGCACTGCACTCCCCCCACACACGCCCACCGAGCTTTTCTGCAGCGGGCACCGCCTGAAACCCTCCGCCGCACCGGGGGCACCGAGCTGAGCCCCTCGGGGCCCTGAGGGCTGCCGGGGCCCACGAACCGCACCCGTCCCCAGGCCGAGCTCCGCCACCGCCCCCCGTGCCCGCGGGGCCGCCTCCCCCCTCAGGCTGCCGCGCTCCCCACCGTCCACGACGAACTTCTGGGCGTAGCGCTTGAGGTTCTTCCTCTTGATGGAGCAGAAGCTGGGCGGGAAGCAGCCCTCGGCCAGCAGCCGGTAGATGTCCTCGAACTTGCTGCCGTGGCCGCAGGGCTCGGCCGCCACCACCACCTCCCGCTCGGGCTCGGGCAGCGCCGCGTCCATGGCCGGGCCGGGCCCGCGCTGCCCCCGCGCGCGCCCCCAGCCGCCGTCAGCCCGGACGGGCAGGGCGGGCCTCCCGGCGGGCCCGGCGCGGCCCGGAGGGCTGCGGGGCAGCGGCCGCGCTGCGGCACCGGGCCGCGGTGGCGTCACGGCGGCGACAAAAACAACAAGCGTAAAACCGGGGGGGAGAACGGGCGAGTCCCGCCGCTTCGCGTTTTCGCCCCGGTTGGGAATTTGCCGACGCGCCCTCCCGCGGGCGGAAGCGGAGCCCTCTGAGGGCAGGACCGAGAGGCGCGTTCGCCGGCAGGAAACATGTCGGCGGGCCCGCCGTTCCGCGGGTGCGCCTGCTTTTTCACCGACAACATCTTCGTGGGGCGGTTCGGGCTGCACGTGCGGTACCGGGACGCGCCGCAGCTCCGCCGGGAGGGGCGGCGCGCGGCGCGGCGGCGCGGCCGTGACGGGCCCGTGTGTTGCAGGCGCTGCGGGAGCGCGGCTGCCGGAGCGAGGAGCAGCTGCGGGAGGTGCTGAGGGAGGTGAGAGCCCGAGCCCCTCGCGGCCGCCCGGGGACGGTAAAAGCCATGCTGGGCACGGCCCGGGGCGCTGCCAGGGACACAGGGGCAGCCACGGCGGCTCTGGGCGCCCCGTGCGCCTCACCGCCTCACGGGGAGGAACCGTTCCCCGAAACGCCATCTCCCCCTGCCCAGTGTGAAGCCATTCGCGGTGTCCTGGCACTCCAGCCCGTGGAAATTGCCTCTCTCCATCGCTTTTTGTCGGCCTCTGCAGGGCCACACTGAGCTCCCCCTGTGCGGGTGAACAATCCCAGCTGTGCCAGTCTTTCCTGCCAGCAGGGCTGCCCCATCCCTGTGCCCATCCCTGTGCCCATCCCTGTGCCCATCCCTGTGCCCATCCCGGCTCTCAGCAGCCCCGGGTCCCTCCCGGTGCCCGCAGGAGCTGGGCAGCCCCGGCTCGCTCGGGGATCCCCTCAGTGCCGGGGGTCGCTCCCCGAGGAGTTTGGGATTTGCCGGAGCCCCCCTGCTCCTCCCGATCCAGCCCGGAGCCGGCGGAATGCCGAGGCAGGAATTCCCCGCGGGCGCCCAGCAGCGAGGAGTTTATCCAGCCAACACCCCGCAATTAAACCCTTCGCTCGACACTTCCCGGCCGCTCCCTCCCTGCGCTCACTCCGCTGGCCGCCAGTGCCCTGCTTCCTCTCTCCTTCTCTTCTTGTGCCAGTCATTTTAGAGGCAGCCCCGAGATGGGATCCTGCAGAAATTCACCCTTTGTCACGGAATCTCTGCTTCTTCCCAGGCCAGGGACAGGGGTCAGTCACTCACCGGCTCCACTGTCACCTGACACTAAGGGGACAGACAGGTTCTTTCAGGAATTCTTGGCAGAGTGATGGTGGCTGTAAATCATACTGTAATTAAAGCTTTATTAACTGGATATTATGATTCACACAGCAGAGAATTTATGAGTAGAACAGCACAGGACTTCCCCAGGCAGAGTCAATGCAGCACAACGAGCAATGTAATACAGAATTTAAAAAACAAGACCCTAACTTTGGCTGTAATTTACAATCACCCTGGTCCTAAGCACTTCTTAATCCCCTGGGCTCTCTGCAGATCTGCTCAGATCTGCATACAAGCTTTGCTGTATCAACATAAACATCATCAAGGAGACCTAAAAATTACACAAACAGATAGGAGTCACTCAGTGCTGGCAGGAAGCAGATGTCAGTGGCTGTCCCTGGCTGGGGAGGGCACAGCTCTCCCTGTCCAGCAGCAATTCCAGTCCAAATTTCCCACTTAAAACTTGATACTGATTTTTAGGCAGTGCTGGGTTACAGATCCTGCCCTGTGGCCTGGTGCCCAGGGCTGGGAGGGAGGGGAAGGGGAAGGAAGCTGAGAAATGTGTTGGATTTGTCTGCTTGGTTCCCAAGGGAATGAACACAGGAGCTGCTGGGTCCAGGGAATGGCTGCTCGCTCTCTCCTCTGCGAGCATTGCTACAAATGAATCTCGAGAGGGGAAATGAACGGGAGGAGCTGCCGGGATCAGCTGCTGGCTCTGACAGGGCAGCTGAGCCTGCACCACACTTAGCAGTAATCCCTTCATGACAGGGCCTGTCTCACTCCCAGCAAACGTCTCTGTTTTGGACAGTGCCTCTATTGTCAGGACAAAAGGCAGATCCTGGAGGTGTCAGAATGCCTGAAAGGGCTGAGACCTCACAGCTGCACTTGACACTTCCACAGGAAACTCCTCAGTCACTTTTTAAGCCACTGTAAAGGGAACATCAACTCCTCCCAGGCATGGGGTTCCAGATATTGACTGGACTTTTCCTGACCACAGAGAACCAAAGCAAACACTCTGTCTCCCAGAGGTGCCCCCAAACAAAAATAACTGGTTTAAAACAGTGAGCAGATTCCTGGAGCTGTTTCTCTCTGCCCTGCAGATTTCTGACAGTGTTGTCTGTTGTTTACTTGCAGATTGAGGCAGAAGTGCAGAGGAGAAAAGAGTTAATCCATCAGTCAGTGGAACGCAGAGCCATCATCTCCAAGTGCTACAAACCAAAACACCCAGAGGTGTACACTCTGCAGGTACACGGGAGGTTTGGAATCCCTTTTGCACCAGAAAAAAAAATCCCCTGAGAGTTTTATTTTTGCAGTTTGTTTCCCCCTCTCCTTGGGACTGCACGGTGCTAAAGCTGCACTGAATTCAAACACAGGTGTAGCATTTGAAAACTGGATTTAAAACTTTAAAAACACGACATCACAGTGTGCTCTCCAGGCAAGATTCCTGGTGTTCCAACCAGGAAAGGCTCTTTCCTGTCATGTCTGTGATAAATCTGGCCAGTTACTCCTAAAAAAACCATGAACTAAAGCAAGCAGCAAGTTCCCTGCCCCACCTGGTAAAGCAGCAGAGCCTTTCTGCATTCCTGCTGTGACTCAGCCTTGCTCCCTAGGCACTGGGTATTCCTGGGAGTCCATTTCCCCCTGGGCTCTGCAGGCTGATTGTGTTGTGTGTGTTTCTCCCATCCTGCCCTTGACACCAGGATTCCTTCCTGGCCCCAGAGTTTCTGGAAATCGAGAGGTTCTGCAAATCCCCAGGTGCTGATCTCCAGGGCCTCCTGAGCTACCTCGAGTCCTTCTCAGGTAAAGAAAACAACAAACAACACCTCAGTCACACCCAGCTCTCCCTGGTGCCCTGTGTGGAACAGCTCTGCTGTGGCACAGCTGAGGCACACAGGATGTTTCTCCTGCCTGAGGAGGGTCTCTGGAGAGGCAGCAGCTTTGCTGTTCTCTGCTTTCCCATCCCAGCCTGCTGATGTCTCACCAGAGGCTCCAGCTGCAGCAGGGCTGGGGTTTTGGTTGTTCCACACCCCACCAGGGAGCCTGCTGAGGGAGCCCAGGGAGCTTGGCTTTCCTCCCTGAGTGCTTTCCCATTGCAGACAGTTCCTGTGGGTTACTCTGGGCTGAAACAGCTTCAGTCTACTACCTCGAGTCCTTCTCAGGTAAAGAAAGCAACAAACAACACCTCAGTCACACCTAGCTCTCCCTGGTGCCCTGTGTGGAACAGCTCTGCTGTGGCACAGCTGAGGCACACAGGATGTTTCTCCTGCCTGAGGAGGGTCTCTGGAGAGGCAGCAGCTTTGCTGTTCTCTGCTTTCCCATCCCAGCCTGCTGATGTCTCACCAGAGGCTCCAGCTGCAGCAGGGCTGGGGTTTTGGTTGTTCCATACCCCACCAGGGAGCTTGGCTTTCTTCCCTGAGTGCTTTCCCATTGCAGACAGTTCCTGTGGGTTACTCTGGGCTGAAACAGCTTCAGTCTAGATTTCAGTCTTAGAAAAAGAGAGCTGAGTTTTCAGCTTCCCTGGAGGCAGCTCCCTGCCTAGCAGAAAAGCTGCCAGGATGCAGAGGGGAAGAGGCAGAGCTGCCTCCTTTCCTCCAGGCAGAGGACAGCAATGCCTGTGTGCAGAGCTCTGGATTTGTGCAGGGCACCAGTTCCAGACACAGCCTTCTGCTCTGGAAGTGGGGGGCCAGCATGAAAAACAACAACAACAACAAAAACTAGCATGAAAACCAGCAGTGTGAAAAACAACAAATGCAGCCCAGGGCTGAGCCAGGAAATGGCCCCAGCACAAGGGGAGCCCGTGGGTGCTGTGCTCTCACTGCCACCAGCACAGTGCAGCTGGACAGGCAGCCAGGAGCACCGGGAGTGTCCCCAGCAAACTCTGTCCTGTCTGACAGACAAGAGGATCTATCGGCTCCCCGTGTTCACCCAGCAGTTCTGCCAGGCCCTGCTGGATGAGCTGGAGAACTTTGAGCAGTCGGACATGCCTAAAGGCAGGCCCAACACCATGAACAACTACGGGGTAGGACTCCTCCCTTGTGCTTCTTTTCCTCCGAATTTTAATCAAGGTGACAGTTTTTAAAGAACACTCACCTTTTAATCTTATTACTCTGTTTTCCCCCATCCCTCTCCACCTTGATCCTCCTTCCTTTTCCCTCTGCTCCCAAGTGAGCTGAGCCAGCAGCAGGGCTGGAGGAGCAGCAGAGAGGCTGCTGAGCTCCCCCCGCTGTCCTGGCCCAGGTTTTGCTGAACGAGCTGGGCATGGACGAGCCTTTCCTGACGCCGCTGCGGGAGCGGCTCCGGCCCATCACGGCGCTGCTGTACCCGGAGCTGGGCGGGGCCTGCCTGGACAGCCACAAAGCCTTCGTGGTCAAGTACTCCCTGCACGAGGACCTGGACCTCAGCTCCCACTACGACAACGCCGAGGTCACCCTGAACGTTTGCCTGGGAAAAGAATTCACAGAAGGAAATCTGTACTTCGGGGAATTCAACCAGGTACTGAGCACGCCCCACTCACCTCTCCCTCCTCAGCTTCCAGGCCTCCACTGTTCTACAAAACAATTCTTCACTTCTGACAGTCACACCTGCTCTGTCCCTTCCTTTCTTGCATGGCTTGGTTATACAGGAGCCTCTTTTGCTGCAGTATTCCAGCACCCAGTACCAATATTCAGTATTTTAAAGAGAGGACAGATGCAGCTTCACAGTAGAAACGAGTGAAACAAACCATCCCCTTTCCCCATCTGACACTGCGAGCAGGGAGTGCTGAGGGAGAGATTGATTTCAGATGTGACTTCAGCCTCCATCTCTGGCACCTGTTTTTAGGGCAGGCAGGGGTGGAAGCTCTCACACAGCAGTGAAACATGGGGTTTTTTCTTGAATCTCTCCAAATCCCCTCTGACCTTGGCCCTGGGAATGAGGTGCTGACAAACTCCAGCCATTTGAGGGCTCCCAGGGCGTGACAGCACCCCCCTGCCCCTCGCAGGACGCCGTCCCCGTGCCCAGGTACATCGAGGTGCAGCACCTGCGGGGCCGGGGGCTGCTGCACCGCGGCGGGCAGATGCACGGCGCGCTGCCCATCGCCTCGGGGCAGCGCTGGAACCTCGTGCTGTGGCTGCGCTGCTCGGCCGTGCGCAACCGCCGCTGCCCCATGTGCCGCCGGCCGCCGCAGCTGGTGCCGGCCGAGGGCTTCGGGGACGGCTTCACCGAGGAGCCAGCGCCCGGGGAGGAGCCGCCCGGCAGCGTGCCCGTCTGCGCCCTGGGCTAGCCGGGCAGCCCCCGCCCAGCTGTGCCCCCGGCTCCTGCCTGAGCCCCGCGGGAGCGGCTCGGCCTCGGCAGGGATGCAGAGCCAGCCCTGCCCGGATTCCAGCTCCCCAGGGCTCAGGCTGCGGCTGGAGGACTCTGAGGCACAGAAAGCCCAGCTCTGATCCCTGCAGGAGCTCTCTCAGTATCTCCAAGTGCACCCAAGGCTCCTTGGCCTCTCTGCCAGCTCCCTGGGAACGGGGCAGAACGGGACAATAAACCATTTCCTGCTGGTCCTGGGGCCTCCTGTGCTCTGCCAGGGGAGGGGAGAGCTCTGTGCTGCTCAGTGGCCAGGCAGGGTCTGCTCAGGATGAGATGCAGGTGACTCACAGCTGGGAATGACCACCCCTGGATGTTTGTCTAGCCCAGGCTCAGGAAAACCCACCAGGAGCAACCCTGATCCCCCAGGGTGGCTGGGAGATCTCCCCAGGCTTCTTGGGAGCACAAACTTCCCTTTCAAAGGTTTTGTGAACCTCATTAGGCAGAGCCAGAGCTCTGGGAGCCACCTGCAGCACAGCAGAACTTCCCAGAGGATGAGATGTGCATTTAACTCCCTTTGCTTTAGTGACATGAGCCAGTGAAAATATCAAATAACTCTGCCAAACCTGGGTGCAGCAGCAGGCCAGGCCTGGGGCTGCTTGATTTGGCACCAAGATCCCCCAGGAGCTGCTGGGTTGGAAGGGTCGAGTGCTTCCCCTCCTTCCTTCCAGCTGGCTGAAAGCACATGACTCTTCCATCTGCTAAACAAACTAAAGAAGCCAAATATCGTCTGATTTATGCGTGGAAAATTAACCCGGTTATTCGATAGATGCTGCTGAGTTTCTGAGGGTTTTCCACTGAGGTGTGCAGTGCAGTGATTAGAGCACAAGGGCTGAACGTGAGCAGCTCGCACACAAGGAGCTCACCGAAGCTCTCCCAGCTGGATTTTGGCCGGGGCTGCCATTAGCAAATTTTTATTTTTAATGAGCAATTTGCTCATTAGCAAACTTATCAAAATTACACCGGGGGAAGGAAACCCCGGTTGTATCTGAGCGAAGAGTCGCTACCCAGAAACGCAGCCTCGAAGCCTTTACCCCGTTCACTGGGGAAAGTGAGAACTCCCAACCTGCTCGAATTCACCCCAAAAACGGAGCCGCTGCCCGGGCTAGGCGGCCCCCGGAACCAAAGAGCGCGGCCCGGCTGCCGCCCGGCCCCGCGCGCGGCGGACGGAGGCGGCCGAGCGCTGCGGCGGCCCCGGGGCCGGGGGGGCTGGTAAAGAGCTGCGCACTTAAAGGGGCCGCGCCTGGAGCCGCGCGCGGAACGCGCCGGGCTGAGCTCTTAAAGGGCCAGCGCACCTCCTAATGAGCTCTTAAAGGGCCAGCGCACCTCCTAATGAGCTCTTAAAGGGCCAGCGCACCTCCTAATGAGCTCTTAAAGGGCCAGCGCACCTCCTAATGAGCTCTTAAAGGGCCAGCGCACCTCCTCATGAGCTCTTAAAGGGCCAGAGCACCTCCTAATGAGCTCTTAAAGGGCCAGCGCACCTCCTAATGAGCTCTTAAAGGGCCAGCGCACCTCCTAATGAGCTCTTAAAGGGCCAGCGCACCTCCTAATGAGCTCTTAAAGGGCCAGCGCACCTCCTCATGAGCTCTTAAAGGGCCAGAGCACCTCCTAATGAGCTCTTAAAGGGCCAGCGCACCTCGCACGGGCTCTTAAAGGGCCAGAGTACCTCGTGCTGAACTCTTAAAGGGCCAGCGCACCTCGCACGGGCTCTTTAAGGGCCAGTGCATCTCGTAATGAGCTCTTAAAGGGCCAGAGCACCTCGCACGGGCTCTTAAAGGGCCAGAGTACCTCGTGCTGAACTCTTAAAGGGCCAGCGCACCTCGCACGGGTTTTTAAAGGGCCAGAGCACCTCGTGCTGAACGCTTAAAGGGCCAGCGCACCTCGCACGGGCTCTTTAAGGGCCAGTGCATCTCGTAATGAGCTCTTAAAGGGCCAGAGCACCTCGCACGGGCTCTTAAAGGGCCAGCGCACCTTTCGTGCCGCAGGCCCCCGTGCCGGGCCGAGGGCAGGGCAGCCCCTGCAGGCGCCCAGGGCAGAGCAGCGCCGGGCCCGGCCGGGGCAGGGCCGGAGGAGTCGCTGCGGGCCCAGACCGGGGGCAGGGTGGGGGCGAGCCCGGCTCGGGGCTCAGCCAGCCCGGGAGCTGGGGGCGGGTTTGGGGTTCCTACCGGGATCCAGAGCCACTGATCCTGCTGCTGTGCAGGGACAGCAGCGGGGTTTGATCCTGCTGCTGTGCACGGATAGCAGCGGGGTTTGGTCCTGCTGCTGTGCATGGATAGCAGTGGGTTTTTCCTGCTGCTGTGCATGGATAACTGGGTTTTTCCTGCTTGCAGCCAGAATGAAAAGGTCTGAGTCCCAAACGCTGCCCCAGCAAGGCACCCAGCTGCTGGGTGTGTGTGCATGGAGGATTCTCACCCTCTCATCCTTCCCTGCGTGCCTGTAATGGTTGTCATTGGTTCTGGGGTTTTTTTCTGGTTGAGTTTTCCCTATGGAAATCAATCAAAGGTCTGATTCGCTTGGGAGGAAATCCAAATTGCTGCCTGGGAATGCCGAGGTGGTAAACAAACAATTCATTAAATGTGGTGGTTGGAAGGTGGCTGTGAGGAAGCGTTCCCAGCTCCTGCTCTGCCCACGGTGCCCGTTTGTTTTCTGAATTAATGAGAGCATGGAGCACACTGGCCTGGGGCTGATGGACAGGCCTAGCAGCTCAATGCATCATCTGTTTTCTAAGAGTAAATTGGAATATTAAAAATTCATTCTTCCCCTTGGCTTGTGCCTGCTCAAGCATTTTAAGTGATGGGGTGATGGACTCGGGGAGGACGCTTTGTTCTGCTGACTGTGGCTGCAGGGTCCATCACCCCCTGCCTGTGTCCAGCTGTGGTGCAGCTTCTGCTGGCCCCTGGTGCCATGGGGTGACCAAGGGGTGACCATGGAGTGGCCATGGGGTGACCAAGGGGTGACCAGGGGGTGACCAAGGGGTGACCAAGGGGTGAGCACGGGCACAGCCCTGCTGCAGACACAGCCCCAGCCCCTCCGTGCCTGCCCCAGCAGGGTCAGCCCGATCCTCCAGGGACAAACAGCAGGAGAGCAGGGAAAACCTGCTGGAAGGTTTTGCTGGTGGAAAACCTGCCTGGGGACCCTTGTCTGGGCAGCTGAGGCTGTCCCTGTGCCAGCTCCCTGCCCAGGCTCCCTCCTGGTGAAATTCCCCCAGGAATTCTCCCGGGCTGGGATGGAGATGGCAGAGCTGTGTGAGCAGGGAGGGAGTGCACCAGGAGCAGGTCTGCCAGGGCTGCTGGCTCAGACTGGAACATTTTGGGGCTGCAGGGCAGGGCTGGTCCCCCTGGCCCTGTGTGACCCCTCCTTTCCCCAGGAGCTGCCATGGCCCACGGCCGCGCGCGGAGCAGCAGCAAAAGCGACTCCCGGAGCAGGCAGGAGAGGAAGGAGAGGAAAAGGAGGAAGAGCAGCAAGGACTCGCAGCAGGGCAGCAGCTCTCCACCGAGGAAGAGGATCTCTGGCTCTCAGGGACACACCTCGAGCTTGGCAGCAGCCAGGGAAGGTGGGGACAGCCCTGGGCCTTTGCTGTCACCTCGTCCTGGGGAACAGAGGGGGCCCAGGGGAAGGAGAGGGTCCCTGTTTTAGTTGTGTCTGTCACCTTGTCCTGCACTTTGTGCTCATTTTGGTCTCGTTCTGCCAAGGGCAGAGCCCTCAGCCCCTCCGTGAGCTGCCCTGGTACCACAGAGCATCCTGTGCACTGAGGGGAATTCCAGGCAGGAAGGAAACCAGGCTGGGAGTGGGATAAAATCCAAAATCTCTGCTGCTGCAGGGCCTGGGCTGCTCCACTCACCCTCTTCTTGTGTATTGCAGAAAAGAAAAAGGAAGGAAAGGACAAAAAGAAGAGGAAGGCCAGTACCTCTTCCTCTGGGACATCTTCATCCACCAGCTCTTCCTCATCTTCCTCTTCCTCCAGCTCCTCTTCTGATGACTCCAGTGACAGTGACTCCAAAGTGAAGAAGAGTCAAGACAGCAAAAAAAAGCGAGTGAAACAAAAAGACAAAAAGAAGAGGAAGAAGAAGAAGAAAAAAATGAAGAAGAAATCAAAGAAGAAGGCAAAGGAGAGGGCTAAGGAGGAGAAGGCCAAGGGAGAAGAGGTGCCCGGGCCCTCGCTGGAGCAGTGGCAGAAGGAGGCAGTGGTGGACTCTGGGCCAGGTAACGAGGCTCTTTCCCTCCTGCTGGAGCCTGTGCTGGTCCCTTTCCATCCGGGGTGTCTGGGGGAAGCAGGGCTGGGAACAGGGAAGAGCCCCAGGCTCTCCTCCCTCCTCTGTATGGTGCCCAGATTGGTTTGTGAAGTGTTAGGATGTGGTTTATGGATGTGAGTGGGGAACAGAGGCCAAATGGAAGGACACAGCCAGCAGTAAATCCTGGCAGAGCTGGTCCTGCCTTTGGCATGTGAAGTGTCCCTTTCCTTGCAAGGTTTGTCACCACACCCCGAGCACTCTGGGAATGGGGTGTGGAATGTGGTCTGTGGCTGAAGCCTGGTGCTGGGCCCCTCTCCTGAGCACAGCCCTGACTGAGCACTGCACTCCAGCTCTGACAGATGAACAGAAATCCCGGATCCAGGCCATGAAGCCAATGACAAAGGAGGAGTGGGACGCGAGGCAGAGCGTCATAAGGAGAGTGGTGGATCCTGAAACAGGGAGAACCAGGTATGACCCTGGGCAAGGGGGAGATGGCTTCTCCATCCCATCCATGCCCAGTGGGCTGGGGGCCTGGAGGGTGCCTGTCCATGGCACTGCAGCACCACCAAAGGCCTGAGCCAGCCCCTCACAGGTCCCCCCTCATCAGGCCTGGTGTGACCTACCCAGAAAGTGACACAATGACACCAAATCACTGAATTGTGCTGGGGCTCCACACAAGGGACTCTGGGCTGTCCCAGTATCCCATTGCTGCATCCACTTACCTTTTAGCTCCAAAGCCCTGGAAACACCCAGGTGGGAGTGAGGAGCATGTGCCCTGTGGGGTTACAGGCAGTGATCAAACCTAAGTTCATTTAGCTGCCAAATAGAAATGACCCAGTTTTTAATAAACTGCATCTTCTCAGCAAGCAGAAAACGTCATGCTGAAGAGAATTGGGTATGACAAGTCCAGTCTTAAAATAGAAGGCAGCCTGCAGGGCTCAGGGAGGTGTGGAACAAAGGTCGGTTCCCTGGAAGGCACGTAATGAAGACAATTAAATTTCTGTTCATGTCTGGAGGTGTGAGCCGCCTCCAACACTGCTTGGAATTTGCTCAGCAAGATATTCCTCAGCCTGGCTGCATTTCAGGCCCAAACTGGCTCCTGTTCCTGAATGGCTTTGCAGTTTCCTGGGGCAGCCAGGACCACACCTGAATTCTATGAGAAAAATAAGAGGTTCTGCATGGGTTGAGGCACTGTGGGTTGTAGGGTGACAGGGAATGCTTTCACCAGGAGTTCTGCTGTGCCAGTGTGACTGACTGCACACAGCAGGCAGTGCCCACAGCCTGGGGCAGAGCCAGCTGGCCCTCAGTTCTCAGGGGAGAACTCCTGCCTTGCTGCAGTGTGGTGACATTAATCCCACAGGAGCAATGGCAAAGCCTGCTGTGCTGTTTAAGCTTGACACAAAAACAAAGTCACAAAATACAATGTCAGGGGTGGGGCAGCACTGGCCTTGCCTGGAGGAGCATCAGCCCTGCCCCTGCTCCAGGGTCTGGGGGAGCTGGGGCACAGCAGGAGCCTTGGGGTCAGCACCTTTGCAGCTGCAGGAACTGGTCAGTACCCTCAGGGCTCCTGGGCCTGTGCTTGTCTTGCAGGCTCATTAAAGGGGACGGGGAAGTCCTGGAAGAAATCGTCAGCAAGGAGAGACACAAGGAGATTAACAAGGTAGTGGGAATGGCCACCAGCACGAGCTGCACGGGGTGGCTGGGCACAGCCAGGGAGCTGCTGCACCCAGAGGGGTTGTGCTTCCACCCTGGGGCCAAGCTGAGCCCTGGCAGCACTGCCAGGGCCCCGGGTGGTGCTGGGGGTGCTGCAGCCCAGGGCAGGGCGTGCTGTGAGTGCTGTGTGTCCCCTGCAGCAAGCCACGCGTGGGGACGGGCTGGCCTTCCAGGTGAGGACGGGCATGCTGCAGTGAGGGCAGCACCAGCCAGCCCAGGAGCCCGTCCTGCTGCCCCTGCCAGCCTGGGGAGAGCCTCTGCCTGTGGACCACGCAGACAGCACCGTGTCAAGATGTCCCCCAGGGGCCCTTTGCAGCTGCTCTGTAAGTTACTGACCGGGAAGGAGAGCGACTTTAGTGGCTCATCTCCCAGTAAACAGCTTCTCCCCTCCCCGTCCCAGCTCAGGCCAGTGTGGCTGTCATGTACCTGAGCCATTTGCCCTGATGCTCCTCTGGATGCTGGAGGAGCTCAGCAGCACCCAGGGGACAGGCTTGAGGGTGCTGAGCACCTCAGGGTGCTCTGGGCTTTGGGGGGCAGGACAGGGTGTGTACCAAGGCCACAAAACACCCAGCTGGCTGCCACTTCTTCCCCTCAGGGGCTGCCCATGGCCCTTTCCCTGCTGGATCTGGCTCACAGGCCCTTTGCACTCACTGAGCCTGCTCAGAGAGGAGTGGCTGTGGCTCTGCTCAGGCTGCAGCTCCTCTGCACCCCTGAGTTTCTCCCAACCTTCCTGCAGCTTCACCTCCTCGGGTAGGGGAGCACTGACCTGGCACACTGCATCTGTGCAGGTGTGCTTTGTGCAGGGGTGGCTTTGCCTTGCTCTCTGCTCCTGCATGCAACTCGTGTCCCTTCCCCACAGCACAGGCCCTGGGCAGCGCTGGGGCTCTGGGCTGCCCAGGGCTGCTCTGAAGCAAACACAGCAGCCTTTTCCCTTGCTGGAAAGTCCATAAATCTGCAAACTGTAAAAAAAGAAAAGGACAAATGGGTTAAAGGACAAATGAGTCCTGCAGGACTGATCTCCACAGAGGGTTTCCTCATTCTGTTCATGGCTGTAACCCCATTAAACTGGCACCTGCTCACATTTGATGACTCGTCTGTTCCTAGAGTACTCCCCCACCCCCCAAAAAAGCAGACAGAGAAGAGCCTTCCCATTTCTTTAATCTGTGTAACTCACAATGGTACTGTACACAAAGCACACCAGGCATTGGAACGATGCACTAACAGCAAGGAGGAGAAGGAAGTTGTACAGAAGGTTTGCCACACACACGCGAGGCATCGGCACGGCACACGTGGGGCGACCCCGGCGCCCTCGGGCATCCCCCCGCTGCTTCCCACGCACAGCTGGTACCCCTAGAGCAATTTTTTATAAATAAAATATAACTAACATCGTTGGAATATAAAATTGACAGTCGAGGGTATCAACAGGCAGAGGGAGGGGACCGTAAGGCTTCTAGAACTAATAGGAAATGCAGCAAACAGTGGCGATACCTGAAGAAGGGGCTGCTACAGCAAGCACGGCGGCTGCTGGGAGGGTGGTGGTGACCCTTTGGCTGATTTCTGCTTTGGGCTCGTGCCCCTGACACTGTAAACGGTTTTTGGTATTAGGATTTCGCCTCATCTGACTGAGTGATCTGAGCAAAGCCAGGAAAACGACTCGGAGGGAATGCACGGGCTCCTCTCACTGGTTTTTAAAAGACTTTGAAGGGACAGCGTCAGGTAGAAAGTCCGGCCTAAGGGTGCAGTAATATAAAAAGCTGCTTTTCATAAAAAATCTGAGCTCTGCAGCAGAGTTTGATTCCCATGGAAACGGAAAAGCAACCCCAAAGCCCGAGGCTGTGTTGTGCTGATGTGCAGAGCAGGACGTGGGCTGTCACCGAGGGCTGCCCAGACAGCGGCCGAGGGAGGAGGACAAGAAACTTCCCATTCTCTCCTTTCAAAGCAAACAAGTTACTCGTAACAAGGATAAATTAGATCTTTACCCTGACAGTGCCCCTTTAGTAAGGATGGAACATACATTCATCCAAACGGATCCTCTTCCATACGCGTGGAAAGGCATCGGGTCACATGCACTGCTCTCCAAAACAGCTCGGGACAAACAGGTGATAAACACAGAGTGAAACTATTGCTATTGTTCTGGGAGTGTTGATCTCTGCTTCAGAGGGATGAGTGCCAGATGGGGGCGGCTGAGGATTGAGCGATGCAGACGGGGATGGACTGAGTTGGTGAAGAGAAACTCAGTGGCATTACTTCCTGGTAACTACACCCACCTCCCAGGGTATTATTGCAGCAATAAAGGTCCTGCTCTACAATTGCTTCTCCGTGTTGGATCCACACAATGGCAACGGATGGGGGGCCAGGGGAAGGACCCGGGCAAGGTTCAAGAAGCTCAACAAAGGATGAGGACAGAGGTGCTGTGATTGTCAGGCTAACTGTTAGGAGCTGTTTCAAACATGAAGTGATGGAGAGGGTGAGTATCATATTGCACTTCTGCATTCATTGACAGTTACATTAAACTTGGTCCATAAAATAATTGCTTTGTACATAATGCCTGAAACAAAAAGCTACATTTTTAAAATATTAATAAACCCTGAAGGTTCCAGTCCCTCCAGACATTTTTTTTCCTCTACATAAATAAATAACTTTCAATTTTATATATCCACTTTTTATGTTGAACATTTACATTCGCCTCTGTTTTACACTATCTACACATAAGAAAATGTGAACAACTGGAAAATGTACAGGTCATGCCTTGGTTCTGGACTTGGAGGAAAGGTGAATTTTGCAAAGGCCATATCCAAATTTGCAGAAATTATTTAGTGATGTGGTTTGGTGACTTCACAGGATGGATTGTGGCTTGGCTTCCTACTTAGATGGCATCTGTTTGATAGAACATTCGGTTAGCAAAAAGCTGGGACAAATTCTCATTGTTTTCAAACCCAGTAAAAGCTCTGGATGTACATTCAGAGAGAGCCAAGCTGAGTCAGCAGAAAGGGAAGTCAGTTTCTGGTAACAAAAAGTCATCAGGTACATTCTGTACTTGGATAATTACCAAAGAGAAGTGGTTAAACGTTTTGCAGTCGGGTCTGAGCGCTCCAGGGGCTCTGATGCCGGCGGCAGCTCCGCACTGTCCCTGCTCTGCCTCGGCCTGGGCCCTCCACACCACGAGCACATGAGCTGGATGAGTTGGATTTGTCTGCCGTGGCCCGGGGCAGTGAGCAGAGCAGCGTTCACAGTGCTGTGTATCTCAGTGCGGCCGTCCTGCACCGTTCTTATTGAAACTGCTAAGAAAATGAAGCAGCCAGTCTAAAAAATTCTCTGTTATAAATAAGATCCTCGTAAGTAGAAAGTGATACAAAGACAGGAGAGTGTGGTGGGGAAAGCGGGGTTACACACAGTCAGGGAGCTCGGTAGGACTAGAAAATCTCCACGTGAAGAGGCCAGCTGTAGTCTGTGAATGGGCTCCGTGGAACCCCTGTGTGGATGCCCCTCTGCCCCAGAGGTGTGTGCAAGGAGGGAACCTTGGCTGGCCCCGGGGGGACAGCACTGAGGGCCTTTCTGGCAAGCCCTGGCTCCAGGCACTGTTCTCTGTCCCTGTCTGGGTGCCACTGGGGTGCCAGTCCTCTGCCATGCGCCCGCCAGCTCGCTCCAGCAGCACAAACCCAGTGCTCAGGCACATCCACTGAGAAACACACCCGAAAAATTAAGATATGGCCTTTTCTTAAGGTTGCCTGACATTGTTGGCACACTTCCTTACAGTCTCCTTACTGCTGGAAAAACTTCTGCACAGATTGTTTTTGTTTTTTTCTTTTAAATATATACATATATATATGTGTGTGTGTGTATATATGTATAGATATCCACACACACCCTGGCTTAGCAATATTTCATTGTCATGCACTACAAACACTGGTGTAGCTACATGAGATGGTAACAGGTTTCCATTCTAAAAATCATCAGTGCAAAAAACAATGAGGTTTTACAGTTCAGTAACTATAGGTAAAAGAAGCGAGTCTAGTTCCCATGAAAGCTGCTACTGAACTTGGAGAGAACCTGGGAAGAAAAAAGGTCTCAGAGGTGGACGTTGAGAAGAGTCAGACCCTGCATTTGGATGAGAAGAACTGCAATGCAATCCAGCTGCTGAGTGCCTTCAGCTGCTTCCAAATATATGGTGGTTACTTGCTGGAAATAATACATAGCGAGACTATTTGGAGACTTTAACAGCAATTAAGTGTCTGAGGTTTGTAACAGCTCAAACAAAATAGCTTGTATTCCTCTTTTAATAGGTCAACACATTAAATTCCATCGGCTTCTAAAAGATCTGTTTAAAAAATAACAGTAATAACAATAATGACCCCGCTGTCTTGGGCACGAATCTGCCGACATTCTGCCTCTGCCAACGGCCTCGATGCAGCTTCAGCTTTGCACTGCACCAGCTCCTCGAGAAAGTGGCTGCACGTGGAGCTCTCTGTCCAGGAAAAGCTCTCGGTCGCTCTGCCTGGCACAGCCCACCACAAATCCCTCGCTGGGGCCGGGGGAGCGGCGTTACCCGACCCCAGAGCCCCCACCTGACTCCCGGGACAGCCCAGGACGAGCTCCCCCAGCCTCGTGCCCTGCTGCTGTGGCTCTGAGGACAGCGCTCGGTCACCGTGTGGATGGCTAGCAAGGCGAGGAGGCACCTATTTACAGTCACTGACCCTGCACGAGAGAAGGAGGCAGGAGAGAGCGCCGTCCCAATCCGGAGACTTCCCCCCGACTTCCAGCTGCTCCTCGGGCTCCCGCTGCACAAACCCGACGCTGCCGCTGCAAGGCCTGCGCGTTCCGTGTGGGAAACACCCCGTCTCTCCCCAGAACACCGTGTTATGAGAGTAGCACCATATTTACCCTTCCAGCCCGAAACACTGGCCTCGTCCCTCTTTCCTTTTATTTTCTCCTCCGATGGCTGCAGCTGACAATCCTGGCTCTGGCCTGGCTACTTCTGCCCCAAGAGGCCAGCCTCCAGGCGGGACGCGGCGCTGCGGCCCCAGCAGCCCGTGGCGATGCTCATGCTCCTCTGGCTGCGCTCCCTGTCCCTGTCCTTGTCGCTGTCCGACTGGCTCTGGGTGCGCTCGGGCCGGTGGCCGCCGGCCGCGGGCTGGGAGGAGATGGTGCGCAGCAGGTGGTTCCTCTTGCGCAGGAACTCGGCCTGGCCGGGCAGCCCGAAGCTGCCCTTGCGCAGCGCCATGCGCGTGGTGTTCTTGGCGGGGCGCGCGCGGTGGTTGTACTCCAGCTGGGCCAGGTGGGCTGCGTAGCCCTCCGTGATGAACTGCGGGGGGAGGGCAGGCGTTAGAGGGGTGGGACGCGTTTCCTCTGTGGCCACTGGCAGCCACAGAGGGTCACTCTGCTGGGTTCACCACCCATGGAACTGCTCAGACCCATTTTGTGGCCCTGCTCCCCGGGACAGTTCCCTGTCGGCTCAGTCAGCAGACTTGTGATGACCAAATTCCCACCTCCCTCCCGTGGGAGGCCCTTGGCAGCACCTCCAGGGCTCAGCTGGGTTGGCTCCTACCTGACACTGGCTCTGCAGCTTCTTGGTGGGTCGGCCGACGATGTAGATGTGCGTGGGCGGGAGGCTGATGGAGCTGTACACGGAGATGTCCTTGGTGGATCCGTACGCGGCGTGGATCCTCATGTGCAGCTGGGGGGACAGAAAGCAGCACAGGGTCACAACACACAGGCACCCCGCGCTGCTCAGCAGGCTGGGATTTGGCTTTTCCAATAGCATTTGTGGGAATCTCAGGTCACTGGAACTAATGCAAGTTCCCAGCTGGATAATGGACCACCCAGGGAAGTGCTAATTAACAGAGCTGGGGATGTTTACAGGCCGTGACAAGAGGAGCGACAGCGATACAAGAGCAGATCTCCACTCGCTGATCCACAGCCTTCCCTTGAGGTCTGCAGGGGGCAAGGATGCTGCACACTTCCCTGCTGTCACGGGGGGAGAGGAGCTGCAAACCTGTGCAGGAATCAGCCAGGAATGTTCCCTTCCACAGCCAAGCTGCTGTTACCTGCTGGGCAGAGGGAGAAGGGACAGGCAGCAAAACCTGC